ATTTTTTTTACATTCTTAACTGACGCGGCAGGCCCAGAGGTGCCGGGGCTATGAACTGCCAAGCCTAGAGGTGCTGGGGCTCAGCCCTGGCACAAATTAAGCACTGGCTCTGCAGTGGTGCAGCTGTGCCGCTGCAGCACTGTAAGTGTAGACAAGCCCTTAGACTTAGCTCTGAAGGTGGCCTTATTGTACATCTGTCCGAAAACACGGACAAGCAGAATTGTATTCATTCACACGTGGAAGGTTTTCATCACAGCTAGTCCAGAACGCCACCAGTTACCACTGGCCTCACCGCTGATTTGGTTGAAGTAAGCGATTTGCTTGAATTAGAATCATTGTGATTTGCAGATTTCTCCACACTATTACCTGTTTTCTAAGGTTACAGCATATACAGTAGCATACGCTGATTTGGAATAGTCTCCTTGAAAAGAAAACATTTAATTATTTAAAAAGTTCATTTGGAAGCAATGTTGTGTAACACACTGGGTAGAACTGAGCTAACCGTTCTGAGTGAATAACTTATTGATTAAACATAGTTTTTTTTCTTTTTGGCAAATCCGTCCAGGAACAGATCATTATTTCTACATACTAGTTATTGTTAAAATAGCATTTCCTTCAACTGTATTTCAGGCGTCAGTTTTCTTCACGGAGACCATTGCTCTGTGCGAGCATTTAATATTCATAATTCTAAATTTGGGCACCTCCATCTCAGCTATTGTTTCTGTCAAATTGGATGACTGTCAATCTTACGCTGACCCTGGGGATTTTCAAACATTTATAATCATGTCTTTTTTGCTTCCGCCTAAGTGCTTTATATTCTTACTACATACATAAGCTGAAAATTTAAAAATAGTTGAGATATAACAGTGCCTGGAGCCCCCACCCTTCCTCACTACAGCTCAACTCTTTTTTTCTTTTTTAATGACAATTGGTTGGTTGCAAGACAACTGCCATCTTAACAGACACCTCAGGGATCAAACCAGGGGCCTACAGAGCTAAAAGCATGATCTGCTACAGCTCTCTGTCAGGAATAGTCACACACCCATATCCTCTGTGGATCCAGCACAGAGGGGTGGGGGGGATCTGTAACACCACCCTCACCAATGGGTTATGTTTTCGCTTCTCATGCTCTCCCTGTCTCCTACTATCCTCACTCCCAAAAAAGAGGATCTTTGCTTTGACCATGTAAGCACTTGTGATATATTTTCATGAAAACAAATGTGCATGCACATTTGCACAAATATGAGCCTCCGCCCAAGCATTTGTGCAACTAGAACATTGCTTGCAAAAGTCTAACAACAAAGAGTATGAACAGTTAGATTGAATTTGACTGAATGTTTGTCAATTCCACCCCCCTCACCGCACACACACTGTTCTCCAGATTCTAGGTCTGGAGTTTGCCCAGCAATGCTAAATAAATTGAAAGCAAAATTATTTCAAATAAGGTTCCAAGCATTGTTCCTCAGAATTTTTGGCTTCAAGAATTGTGCATGTCTTGTATCAGGCCCAGCCAAGCCTTGTCTCACCCCTGTTATGATGAGGCTTACACATCAAGGAGGCATCTCATCATCTTTCTGTTTGTGTGACACTGAAGTCAACAGGAGATCTGTGTCAAAATTGATGGCAGGATAGATCAAGTCACATACTGCTTTCTCACAAACCACTGTACCTTTAAGTGATCAAGGGAAAGCAATGTCCTGCTTAAGCCACTCTGCCTACAAGACATGGAAAAAAGAGACTAAGCAGCTGAGGCCAGATGCTCAGGTGGAGTAAATCAGTGTAAGAAGGAGGGTCCAGTAGTTAAGGCACTTGCCTGGGACTCATGAAAGATGGGTTCAATTTTCTGCTCAGCTACAGACTTCCTGTGTGACATTAGACAAGTCACGTAGCCCTATGTTTAAAATTTATATTGGCATAACTATCTAGGTCAGGGGTATGAAGAAAACCTCACATCCCCTAGTGACGTAGGCATGCTGACAAAAGTCCCCAGTGTAGATGCAGTTATGCTGACAGAAGGGTGGTTCTGTTGGCCTAGCTAATATCATGCAGGGAGGTGGTGTTCCTACACTGGCATACGCTGCTTCTACCCTAGGGAGTTATGCCAGCAACTGTAATGTAGATATCACCTTAGTATCTTTGTGCCTCGGTTCCTGCTTTGTAAGTTGGGGATAATGGCACTGATTTACCTCACAGGGTTGCTGTGAGGATAAATATTAAGGACTGTGAGGTGCTGAGATACTGCAGTGTTGGGCCTTATAGGTAACTAAGATTCCTAGCAGATAAATAGTATAGATCTACTGAAGTCAGCTGACAATCCGGTGCTGGCACTAGGCAGAGAGGTGTATGTGTGTAAGCAGTGTCAGGATGAGCTCCACCCTGACATCTGGTGGTGAGGTGTGGCAAGTTGTGGAAAAGAACTTCAGGGGCTGATCTCATTTGCATAGGCACACCCACCCCTCCTAGAATGAGGCCATAGCTGCCCAAATGGTCACTTTGGCTGCTGTGGGATCCCCAGTGTCTCTGTTATTGGGGCAGGAAGAATAAATTGTTATTACCCTGATTATGGGAACTGTGCTTGGAACTGTACTTGGCCTTTTGTTATGATGGAGGGACTCACCATCAACTAAGTAGCACTCGCTAGGCAAGGGTCATGGGTTTTAAAACTCTGTGACTGGAGAGAGGCTGGGGACAAGTATTAATACTTGGTGGCATGGGCCCCTTGGTGAGGGCCTTACATGCTAATTGCACTTCTTCCTCTCTCCACTGTGGAATATCAGAGCTAATTTTGATTCCATTAGGAGTCTAGTTACAGGCTGCTGAGCTCACTTCGAGCTAATGGTGCACCAGCACTGAGACTCCCCTACTGCAAGCTGAATTCACCAAAGAGTTGAACTGACTAAGAGCTGAAATCACTGAGTGTTGTGTTAAGTAGTGGGGGAGCCTGAAGATATATTGTGGAGCAGTTTGTGGGACGCGGAGCAGTTTGTGGACCGGCTGGTGGAGCAGTTCGTGGGACAGCGGGAGCTGCTTGTGGGCCACGGGGCGGAGCTGAGCGAAGGAGTTTGTGGGGCGGCTGGCGGAGTGGAGCGAAGCGAAGGCCTATGGAGCTGTGGGGTGGTCAGCTTCAGATCATGTAAGGTGCCTCTTACCCCCGTCCCATCTCCACCCAGGTTGGGAGGTAAAGCTCCGCAGATAAACTTTCGAACTCTGGGGCTGCCCTGACCAGGAACAGAGACTTTTGGGTCATTGGACTTTTGGGACTTTGGGTGATTTGGGGTTGCTGGACTCAAGAACCAAAGGAAAAGGGGCATGCCCCAATTTGCTTGGGGTGGGTTTTTTTGCTCATGGGTTGTGTTATGAATCCTGTTGGTGGTGTTTCCACAACATAATGCCACATTGTTTCTCTCTGTTATTAAAAGGCTTTTTGCTACACTCAGACTATGTGCTTGCGAGAGGGGAAGTATTTATTGCCTCTTGGAGGCGCCCAGCAGGGGTGGTATATATTTGTCCCAGGTCACTGGGTGGGGGCTCGAGCCGTTTTGCATTGTGTTATTGGAATGGATCCCCTAGATATTGAACCCAGCCCTTGTTGCTGCCAACTCTGACGGGCAGAAGGGTTACATGTGTCTGAGCTGTGGTCCTGACTAGACTTGTTCCGTGTAAATGAAACACCTCTTTAGTTTTCTGTAGAACCACATCTTTTGTCTCAATTGAGCAGGACCTGGCACAACAAAAGTGAAATATTTCCCCTTCACTGCTGCTTAGGAACCTGATTCTACTCCCATTAAGGACAATGGTAAATGTCACATAAGCATCATTGATATATAGTCAGGGCCTATGGGTCTAGAGAAGAGAAGAACAGTAGAGAAGGGATCTAGAGATGGGCATGGACCTCCACCCTGTATCCAAATATGCTCAAACCTTGTCAAGTTAGGACCAGAATCTGAAAGCTGTGCCTTAGGCTAATTTTTAATGGGGTCTTTAAGAGACTCAGATGTGGTAGAGTGACTGTGGAGAACCAAAACCTTGATGTTCATATGGGATGGAACTCATCCCTGTGCAGGGGACTAACACAAGAACACTTAATTCTTCCAAATAGGGCCTAAGTGGGATATAAGTGCTGCATAGGATTTCTGTTGGCCCTCTGCACCGGGGTGAATTTCACCCTATCCATCCATGCCCACATCTATGGCATACCAACTTGAAAAGCTTGATGTCTTATTTGTCTTTGAGATCAAAAAAACTTGTGAAATTTACCTAACACTGGTCTGACCCTTTGTGCCAGCAGGGTGAGGCATGACCTCTCAGTGCTGGAAAGTTCGCCCACAGATAACGTATACACTGTTTTGCCCAGAGCCATGTTTTTCCCTCATCTGAAAAACTCTCTCTCTCTATTTTCTTTATTTATAAAGTTCTTTTGTCAATGATGAAGCCTTCTGCAGTAGTGCACATGTTCTCAGACTAAACACTCAGTGCAAGTCAGGTACAGAGGTGTGTGCTTCTCTGAAGTTGCCCACTTCAGTTTTCTCTTTATCAAATAAATTAAAGGCACTTCATCTATACTTGTAAGTACATCATTACTTCTGAGTGCTATATCATTATTATCAAAGTGTTCTAACACCATCACCGAAAGACCTTGACACGCTGTAAATAACTTTGCCTCTTGCTTTGATACTGCACAGACTCCTGAAATTGTGTTTATTGTCTGCAGGCATTATGGATGCCTAATGTGAAAGAGCTGGAGAGCACACACTCAAAATGAATGGATATATATTCTATTTCTATTCATAACCATTCTCTCCCTCAGACAGGGTTTGATATATCTTCTTGGGCTTTGAGGCCGAAAAGGGAAAATAGACTGATTCTTTCTTTGAGAAGTTTATCTCCCCTCCCCCACCCCGCCTCAATAAATGGAGGGGAGGTAGAGGATTATGGGAATAGTGATGGCTGAACCTCAAAAGATTCAAAGGTTCCACCTCGAAGTTTATTCATAAACTTACCCAGACCCTCTTTGATTTGTGAATCTTGTGTGAAGGCCTCTATCATCAGATTTCAAGTACTTGCTACCCCAAGTTGGCCCAGGCCTACCCGACACAGTCACAGTTGTTTAGTACTTCAATGTCCAGTCCTAGACAAAACCAAAAAGTTCAGAGGTCTAGAAAGGAATATATTAAAGCCGATTATGGATCAAGCCCTAGATACACTGAAGACTAAATTTTGAGCTATGAACCACTTTAATAGTTAGACTGTTCTGGGACCTCAAAGCAAGGATGACACGTGACAGCAGGGGACAAAGCATTCTCAGTCAAGGGGATTGGCTATGACACAAACTTCTAGAGGAGCACAGGAGAATCCAGAATCTGACCATATTTTGGAAACACTGTAAAAGCTTCCACATTGAAAAGGCCTTTTCACCATAAGAAGGATACTAACATTGACACCCTCTCAAAAAAAGCCCAGTGTGATGGGGTAGACTAACCCACACTGGAGAGCAAGGGGTTAAGGAACAGCTCTGGGCCCAGGCAGCCCCACTCAGCCACCCCTGAAAAGTTCACACAAGTTGGAGGCAAGGCTTTATAAAGGTGAGCAGAGCGGTTCAGAGACGGGCAATAGAAGGGAGCAGAAGTGGAAAGTGCTGCCTAGGTGCTCACTGCCTGAGAACTGACCACACAGACCTGTGCAAACCCAAGTGACTGAGTGTGCAGGTCAGAGACTTGATTGGAGCAATTTACTCTGGGAAGCTAAAGGGGACTGGAGTAGGAAGTGTTCAGGGAGGCAGCAGCTTAGCACCCTAAGGTGTCAGGCAGAGCTGCCCACCACCAAGCCCTGGATCAGAGCCTGGTGGAGAGGGTAGTCCCAGGCTCCCCTACCCACTCTGAGAAGATATTGCAACACCTGGAGTCTTCACCTCGGTGACAGATCAGCTAAAAAAGGCCTTGACTGGTCAAGGACTCAGCCCCCAATAAAACCTCTGTGCTAAAGGGGAGGAATGGAAACCTTTGGGCTGGAGGCACTGAAGAACCAGACTGAGGTCTGGTCTACACTGTGGGGGGGAGGGGGGATCTAAGTTACACAACTTCAGCTACATGAATAACGTAGCTGAAGTCGACATACTTAAATCTACTTACCACGGTGTCTTCGCTGCAGTGAGTCAACTGCTGACATTCCCCCATCGACTCTGCCTGCGCTTCTCGCTCCGGTGGAGTACCAGAGTCGACAGGAGAGCGCTCGGCAGTCAATTTATCGCGTCTTCACTAGAGGTGATAAATCGACCCCTGCTGGATCGATCGCTCCGGAGGTAAGCGTAGACATGCTCTGTGCTTTTCAACAGGGAGGTACCCTGCCAAAGCCCTGCCTAACCATTAGGCAGCACTCTTGGTGACTCTGCACCTTTATCTATACCCAGCCAACCCAAAACAAAAGTAAATTAATAAAATCTAAAGAAAAACATAAACCCTCCCCTAAGCAGATTTTTTACCCTGAAAAGGGCAAGACTCCATGAAATCCACTAGGGACTTTGCTATTGCTCTCAATTTTACATGCAGGCACTCAGATGATGGCTGGTAGGACATAGATTAGACAAATACATCAAACATTTTAGAACATTAAAGAAATCCTAAACACATAGGGAGGTCAAGTGTACAGTAAACCATAAATCCTTACCCAGACTTTCCAAAATATCCCAACAAATAAGAAATAGCAGAAATATTTTCCAGCACTACCAGTGAAATAACTCTCAGATGTGGAATGTCAGACAAAGTCCTCACACCTATTTCTTCCACTAAACTCTCTCCTTCAGTTCCAAATCTTGTTTCCAGTAAAGGCTAATTGCCTCCAACAGACTATACCACCCTGAGATCTCATAGCATTATCATATAAACCAATGGTTGACAAAGGATCAAAGGCAGCAAGGACATTAGAGTTCAGAGGAATGTCAAAGCCATCAGTACTTCCACAGCAAGGCATCCTGGTGGCTATATAGCCAGTGAAGATGGAGAGAGAGGACATTTAAATAATTGTTATTCAGGTTACTAAGGAATGCCATTCTGCTCAATAGATCTGTTCCTCGGGTGCATTTAAAAGCATAGCTTTACTGACTAAAATAAGTTTTTATCTCCTTTTAATTCCTGTTAAGACAGCAGAGCCAATACAGCCTTGGAAGAGTCAGCTGGATTCTAGTCTGCTTTAATTTACTAAATATTGATTGCAGAACCTTTATTGTTGGTGAGATATGAGCCAGAAAGAACTCAGCCTTGAAAAAAAACCATGTTTTTATTACTCTTTTACTTATTGTCTCTCAGTGATTCCAGCTCAAGTCTGCTCAATGGGGGCTTGAACCTACACTAAGTGAAATCAATGGCAAAGCTCCCATTAACTTTAAGGGTATGTCTACACTTACAGAGTTTTTCCGCTGTCAGTTTCCCCAGTGATAGGGAACTGGTGAAAGTAAAGCACCGATTTGTGTACTCACTTATTTCCACAGGCGTCAGAGAGTGTTTACATCTGCAGCACTTCCATCACCGATGAGAGCAGGGTACTGAGAGCAGCTATCCCACAGTGCAGCTCTCTCCGTTTTGACAATAGGTCTTGTGGGAAGGGGATGTGCGGAGGGCATTCTGGGTCCTTGCTTAGTGTCCCGTGATGCATTGCTTCATGTCCCAGCAGCCCCATTACTTCCTTGTTCCTTTCGCGGCATTTTTTAACACCTCTTGCTCTCTGGCTTCTTTCCCCGCCACATCTACAAGCAGGAATAGATCTTGCACTTCTGTCCACTGCTCTGATAGCTGTCACTTGCACATCACTCATGGCAGTGCAGCTGTTCTTAAACTTGCAAAGAGAACTGCAGTCAGAGATGCCTGATGAGCTGCCTGAAATGGAAAGCAGTAACTTTTGATTACTTTTGGCATTAATGGAGGAGCTGAGCACTGTGGAATGGCGTTTTTGGGCTAGGAAAGCTAGCTCAGAGTGGTGGGATCATATCATTATGCATGTCTGGGATGACTACCAGTGGCTTCAAAACTTTCAGATGTGGAAAGCCACCTTCATGGAACTGTGTGCCGAGCTTTCCCCAGACCTGCATTGCAAGAACACCAGATTGAGAGCTGCACTCACTGTAGAGAAGCATGTGGCAATCATTGTGGAAGCTGGCAACTCCAGACAGCTACCGGTTGGTTGCGAACCAGTTTGGAGTGGGGAGATTGACCGTTGGTGCCGTAGTAACTCAAGTGTGCCAGGCCATTAATCGCATCCTACTGCGCAAGACCATGACTCTTGGTAATGTGTGTGACGTTTTGGATGGCTTTGCAGAAATGGGCTTCCCTAACCGTGGTGAGGCGCACATCCCTATTGTTGCCCCAGCCCACCTTGGCACCGAGTACATAAATCATAAGCGGTATTTCTCCTTGGTTTTGCAGGCGCTACTAGATCTCTGTGGGCGTTTCACTGATATTAATGCTGGATGGTCCGGAAAGGTGCATGATGCATGTATCTTCAGATTTCAGAGGAACAGCCGTGTTAGTCTGTATTCGCAAAAAGAAAAGGAGTTCTTGTGGCACCTTAGAGACTAACCAATTTATTTGAGCATGAGCTTTCGTGAGCTACAGCTCACTTCATCAGATGTATACCGTGGAAACTGCAGCAGACTTTATATACACACAGAGAATATGAAACAATACCTCCTCCCACCCCACTGTCCTGCTGGTAATAGCTTATCTAAAGTGATCAACAGGTGGGCCATTTCCAGCACAAATCCAGGTTTTCTCACCCTCCACCCCCCCACACAAATTCACTCTCCTGCTGGTGCTAGCCCATCCAAAGTGACAACTCTTTACATAATCAAGTCGGGCTATTTCCTGCATAGATCCAGAAACACTGGCTTGTACAGAAAGCTGCAAGTGGGGACTTTCTTTCCATACCAGCGGATCACCGTCGGGGAAGTGGAAATGCCCATTGTGATCCTGGGAGACCCAGCTTACCCATTAATGCCATGGCTCATGAAGCCATACACTGGAAACCTCGATGTCAGTAAGGAACATTTCAACAACAGGCTGAGTAGGTGCAGAATGGCTGTCGAATGTGCATTTGGCCATTTGAAAGCACGATGTTTGTACAGTAGACTGGAAATAAGTGAGAAAATATTCCCATGGTTATTGCGGCCTGCTGTACTTTACATAACATTTGTGAGGAGAAGGGCGAAAGCTTTACTCCTATGTGGAGGCCGAACGCCTGGCTGCTGAGTTTCAGCAGCCAGATAGCAGGGCTATTACAGGGGCACGACATGTGGCAGTTGGGATCTGGGATGCCTTGAGGGAAAAGTTTGAAAATGAAAATCATTAAACTTTGCTGCTGTACTTGGGAAACAAAGTGTTAACAGCACGCGCTGTGCTACATGGCGCTTCTGTCTGCGATTTCAGTGACGATGAAGTTGACTTGGAGCTGTGATGACATGTATAGAAATGTGAACACACGAATAAAGCTTGCTTCTTTTTGAAAAAATTGTGCTTTTATTTAAAAAAAAAAAAAAGAAGAGAACACACCACATTCACATATATCCACCCTCAGTGATGGTGGTGAACAGGGTGGGGGACCCGTACACCTCACAGCTGTTTATAACTTGAGCTGACATTTGACAAGCTGTCTGGAGGTGTGGATTGTGGGGGGAATGGAAAAAATTTGCAGTGAGCCTATAAGAATGTGCAGTGTGAGTTTGGGGAGTTCATGGGAAAGAATTCTGCATTTGCTGCAGTGGGGAGTGGGCACGAATCAGGTCACTCTGCAGTGTAATGAGAGAATGCAACGTATCTGTCTGACGCTCCAAAACATGGTTAGCCTCTCCGTGGCTTCCCTATGGAAAGCATGAGTCTCTTTTCAGTCTCGGTTCTCTCCCTCTTTCCACTTTGTCATGGTTTCTCTCCATTTATTTTTATCATGCATTTCCTCACGAAACATGTCCACCCTTGTGCATCTTGGCCGCTTTCTTATGCATTGCAGGCACTCTGCTACAGTGGGGGGGTGGGTCTTCCACAGTCATTTCTGGGGAGACCAAAGCAACATATTACTGATATACATACATATAGGAATCACTGTGTATGTTTCAATACACCACTGGTAAGAAATCACCATCTTGGTGACAGAAGTGAAGCATCCCTGGTGCACAAGAGCCCAGCAATGGTGAGGGAACGCCGGGTTAGAGGGTTTATTGCACACACCCATTCTGAAAAGGGCAAGCGTGAACAGAGGGCACCCAGCACACAAATAGCCACCTTAGTACTTTCCTGTGCCCGCTACCTGCTTTATGCATTGTCAGAGCAAAGCAACTTACCAGAGCTCTGCTCTCCTGCCTCCGCCTCAGCGGCCACTCACAGTGGCTAGACATCTCCAGAGCGGAGAAGGGGCCCTGAGCACACGCAGCAACGGGCTCCACAGCTTCCTCAGTCTCCTCCTCTTCATCTATGACTCCTCCTCCTGGCTAGGGCCACTTTCCCCTGCCTCCAGACATGCAGAAGTATCTACTGGACTTTTTGCAATGGAGGTGAGGTCATCACTTAGGAGTGCATCCAACTCACTGTAAAAACGGCAGCTTTGGGGCGCAGGACCAGAACACCGTTTGCTTCCCTCACCTTGTGGTAGGCGTTCCTCATCTCCTTCACCTTCGCTCTGCACTTCAGAGTGTCCCTGTTATGCCCCTTCTCCTACAAGCTACATGCAATCTGCTAGCAGGTATTGAAATTCCTACGGCTGGAATGCAGCTGGCACTGCACAGCCTCCTCTCCCCAAACACTGATCAAGTCCAGTGGCTCATCATTGCTCCAAGCAGGGGATCGTTTGCTGCATGGAGCAGCCATGGTCACCTGGCCAGATGAGCACTCGCAACAGGAAAGGGAGTTTCAAACTTCTCAGAGCTTTACAGGGGGAGGGGCAGACATCCGTTTACCTGGCGTCAGAGCAGCAGAGGTGCTGGCCAGAGTGGCCACCTAGGCACTGTGGGATAGCCTCTAGAGGCTAAAAGCAGTTTACACAGGAAGAATGTGTCTTCACTTGCACAGCACCCCAAAAGAATCAGCAGTAAGAGCTGTACGCCTCTCATGGAGGTGGTTTTCTGTTTGCAATGAAACTTCCGAGTTTCACCGCAAAAAGTCATTAACAAGTGTAGATGCTCCCCTGGTTTTGCTTTAAATGACAAATGTAGACATGCCCTAATGCTGCTGGTTTAAGTAAAAAGATAGCGAATTCTATCCTAATCTAGTCAGATTTTAATACTATGCCTACCTCCATGGTCTCTAAGCACCTTGCTAACTGAGCTAAGGCAAGTTACAGAGCCCAGCCAAAAACACCGACTGACAACCAGCAAAGCAAAAGGCACAACTGAGTGTACTAGTTGCCTGGGTTGAATCGGAGTAAGGACATGAGAATCTGGCAGCACCTCTAACCACTCATGTCAATCCCTAAAAACTGATTTGAAATGCACATTTTTAAATAGTAAATAAAATTTAGCTGCATTACACGCAATTGGCAGTGATGGCTTCCTCAGACTATGTAGAAAGCTTCAGAATGGTCAACAATAAATCAGTGACTTCTTGTTTTAGTAGTTTTATATTTCAGGGAAGGGAGGTGTCATTCTCTACCCTGCTAACAAAAAAAAAAAAAAACCCAGCAGATTATAATAACGTTCTAATTTAATGCCTGACAGGTTTCCTCACTGGGTAGAATAAGAGACAGTGGAACACTCTGGAAGGCCTAGTTCAGTCTAAAAGAAAAAGAAAATTATTCTAAATTTCAATGGCAATACTCATCATATGATCACTGCCACCTAGGCAATGAAATTAGTTACCGTGGTAACCACAGGTTGCATCATTAAGAATTTTTAAAATGTTGACATTTCGGAGGCAGAACTTGAAATACTAGGAGAAGAGCAGGAGAGATGAAGACTTGAGAAAGGTATAAGGAGGAATCAAAGGGTTGAGTGCTTTCAAGAGATTGGATAAGGAAACAATGTGGGGAATAGGAGGCATAGATATATTAAGTGCCTTTTCTGTTTTCTTTCCTAGAATCATCGAAGCAAAGAGGAGAGGGAGGGGAAGTTCCCCTCCATATTTCTCCTTTGTCTCTCTTCCCAATTTGACAGACAGACGGACAGAAGAAAAAAAGAGAAAAACCAGTTAACTGTTAAGGTTGATTGCTGTCAATCTGCAATTATCTCATTCTGCATTGTGCTCATGAGCCTAATGAGAAATGTACACAGCTGGCCAAAAAACAAATTTCACCTCCATGAAAATTTTTGAATCTTTGGAAAAATGTTCATCCCAAATCAGGATGAAAAATCAGAGACTCAAAATTTTTCACAGAACTGAAATCCTGCAATATTTTATTTTGGAAACACTAAAATATTCCCATTATTGGAACTGTTTAGCATTTCTAAAATAAAATATGTTCTCTGGGATCAGTAGCTCTCCTGTCCGGAGCCAAGGAGCCTGGAAAGTGGGGATCTACCGCAATCCACCCAACAGGCTGCCAAGGAGTGGAGGAGCCAGAGCCAGGAACAATTTTCTGATGGGAAATATTTTCCAGGGTAAATTTAACTTTTGTGCAAAGTGATTTTTCCATCAGAAAATTCCTCAGATGGAAAATTCCCAATCTGCTCTAGAAATGTAGAATGAAAACTTTAGTGTCAGGATTTGCACATACTCCCTCCCCCCACCCCGGATTTTTCTTTTAAATTTTTCTTTGTTATATATGAAAACAGATACAAATGTTTGATTTGGGGAAAACATTAGATTTGAGTGTATTCTTGTTCTCAGTAAGACATGGATAGCTTGTATTTAATAAATTATTTTGCAGCATAGAACACAGTAACCTGAG